CAAGAAGAGGCAATTATTCTTATAAACAGAAGCTAATTTTTTTTCTCTCCCTCTTGTGTTTTTCCTCCTTTTGTAGCAGAGGCATTTTTCACCCAGGGAATAGAACAACTGTTGTCATTTACTTCTCTGTCACCAAGGGAGTTCAAATGCTTGTCTCTCCCAGGGTTGGAGAACTCTCCTGATAAGGTTGTAAAGCACCACTTCCAGTGTGCTAAATATAAAGACCCTGCACCTGCACTTGAAGAGTACACATGGTGCTGTCCGTGGGTTGCTCAGGCGGGGTGCTTGCAGGCCACTCCAGTATTGCTTCACTTCGTGGGTCCTGGGGAGGGGAAGGAGGAAACCAGCTGCTCAAACCACAGCAGAGCTGAAGGCATTTTTAAAAAAATTCCAGTTCAAACAGTGACCTAGGCAAGCAGTCTGAAGATCACACACAGACACCTGGTGTGTCATTGTGCCTTCAGGGCCAGTTTGCTTTTTGCATTGCCCTTTTGGAACTTCAGCTTCTGAAGCAAGAGTTGGTTTGGCTTGGCAGCACAAGTCCAATTTTTGGCTCTATCTCTGTGCCTGGTTTATTTCAATCATCAATACTGCTTGAATGAGAGTCCTCTATTGACTATTTATAGTTCTAAACAAGGAAAACAAGTACTGTCTCTTCAGATGAGGTGCCAATGTCTCTGTAATTCCCGCAGTTTTAGTGCTATGATTCGGATTTGGTGCCAGATGCATGGATTCCTCAGACAAACAGGGTTCTGGCAGGAGAGAGGAAGATCTGGCTCTGGCAAGCCTGTTTATGTAAAAAGTTGCCATGTTACTGGCTCTTGTTACCTGCACTGGTTTGATTTGAAGAAGCAGAGAAGCCAGACACAAACTACTGGATAAAGCAGAGCTGGCAAGCCCCTTCACACATGCACACCTTGTTATTCCCATAGGAACCACTAAGTGACCCTGACAGGGCAGCTACGGACAAACAACCTTATTTAGACACAACAGTGAGAGGAAAGATTATTTTATACTGACTTCCTTTTTTCTTGCTGCCAGAGATGGTGCCCTTTGCACTCCTGACAAGGTGCAGAAAGAGGTGGGGGTGCTCTGTGTTATCCTCACTGGACAGGATTGGCCAAAGCAAGTCAGATTGTTTCCTGGAGCAGGGCTTATGAGAACTGCTAGAGATGAAGGAGGGCTGGCTTCAGAACTCGGATTCCAGAAATTACTGGTAAGAGAACAGAAGAGTCTTCAAAAATAAGGAAGGGTTAGCAAATAGCAAACATGTTAAATCAGGTCACTCAGGAGAGAGGTAAAGTGAAGGCAGAGAAAGGCATCAACTTTCAGGATCAAATTGATTCTTCACCCGGCCCAGCCTCCAAGCAGCTGAACTGAATTATTTCAGTTGATGAGAAATCAGCAGTGACCTGTTGTTAAACTCTGGGAAAGCTGGTATGGTTTATTTGCTTGACCTTTTCCTTTCAGGAACTTGGCATATGCATGAGTGCTTTGAAAGTTTGCTGCTGGCCAGCCCCCAAAAGTCCCCTATCCTGGCATGAACCAGAGGTCATGCTGAACCCTGCTCACCATCCCTGAGCACCTAGGAGCACAATCTCTATTCAATCTTTTGGATCTCTTGTGTCCCGCTCTCACATGGGTAGAGTTTTCAGAGTTGTTGCAATTAGCATTTTCCTACTACTGCACCAACCAGTGACTCCTTTAGCTGGGGCTCTGAGAGTCCCTCCTCAGCATTCCTCCTGGGGTCTCTTCCTAGTTCATACTACCCCTTGCAGGAAACCAGAAGACCCAGAAACTATGGTAGCTTTTACCACTCAGTACTGTTGAAGGTAATTTTGAACCATGGGGTTCCAGCTGATGGTTTACCTTTGCAGTCGTGTGATGCTCAGGGCTCCTTGCAGATTGGCTGTCACCTGTTTGGAGAATGCTCCAGTGGGTGTTTCCCTGGGGAATTACCAGCCAGGCAGTGGCTTACCTGCTCCAGCATGCCTTATCTTCTGCCTGGCCCTCTCCTGCCTCTCCTAGCCTGCATCCCACCCAGCCCTTCTTGCTAGGGATCAGTGATGCTCCTGCCAGGCTGGCCACCTGTCCCAGGGGAAGCCACAGCCCTGGACTCCATAGTGGGAGCCTCCACCCAAGCTTCCTCCAGCAAAACTGTGCTCAGGCCCTGCCTTGGAAGGTCCACCTTTCTTCTAGCAGTGTACCCCAGGTTGTGAAGTTTTTCCCCTCCAGTTTTACTTTTTAAGCCTATTTGTCAGTTCCTACGTTCTGTTTTAACAGGCTCCAGCTGGCTGAATCTGAGGGCGCAATGTGATTGAAGCACTTGCCTGGCACTACAGAAGTCTTTCACTGAAAATGGTGGTGGTGATTCCAGAAGGATGTTTGACCAGGCATAACTGAAGCTAAAATTTGTCAATTCATAATTTTAACACTCTATGAAGTTTGTTGTTCAAAAGCATACACAGGAAATCTGAGCTGTTATTTTCCTCGTCTTTGATCAACACACCAGTGTGCTGCTGCGAAATGAAACAGCGTAGGCTGACAGATGAGAATTTTCCCCCAAGGGCATTCTCCTAAGAAGGCAACACTGCTGATTTAGCAAGGAAATAAATCTCCACATATATGAATGCTGCTGTGTACATGCCTTTGTGGCACTTGGGGAAGAAATCAAAATAATTAAAAAATACAGAAGCCTTCATTCTACAGGTCTTTAGCATTTGAATATTCTGTATGTAACTTGAAATGAGCAACTATGAGCTGGAGGATGGAGCTGTGCCTTTTTAACAGCTGTAGCTTTGAGCATCTCAACATGCTGCCTTTGGAGCCCCTTGCCAACTGAGCTCTCCCTAAACAGAGACCTTGGTGCAGCAAGAGGCGGATGAAAGCAGGGAGATATTGGTAGAAGTATGGAACTTCACAGCCCTATCTTATTTATTAATAACACTGAAGTGTGACTACTTTAATACTTTTATCTTCTCCAGATCTCCTACAAGTAACCCTCTCCCCACAGGGCTACTCTTAAATGCTGTTCTGCCCTAAGGAGGTGTATGTCACCTAGCAAGGCTCTGGCTCAAATTGATCTAGAAAGTCATGTTGTCTCCCAGGGTGAGTTTTTCCCATTGAGGTAGTTGTGGGGGAAATTTGAGACTATAGCACTTTAAAGTGACATTGCACACACCCAATGGGATTACAACAGCTGCTCTGCAATTCTGAAGATAAATAAAAACTGAATGTTCCATGAATTTGCTTGCCAAGCTGTACCAGCTTTCGCTAGCAGATATTGGTACAGGAGCTGACTTACGTGTGAGAGATACCAAATGAAGCTTTGTGATCAATGCTCCTGAGGAAGAAGCATAAAGGACACACACTCCAGTTACTCCTACAAAATGTGCTGTTGTTTTCTAGTTTGGGATTTGGGGTTTTTTCCCCCCTCTGCCATCCATTTCAACATTCAAAGCATCTTTGGAGAAAAGAACAGCATTTCAGCAAACAAGACCTGACTTTTTGTGCAGTATGACTAAGTGGCATGTGGAGCTCAAGATTTCGTATTATTTCCTTTACACTCTTCATAGCACTCAGCAGCTCACGTGGACAAGACACAGGTACTCCCTGTAATAAAGTATATTTGACCTACAAACATTGAGCAACCCAAATAACAGTATTGTTGGATGGTTAAGCAAAACTTTCCTAGCAGAGCATGATCAACTACATTTCAAGCAACGCTTCTGAAGAAAGAAGCCTGTGAACAAATAAAAGCTATCCTTGCATTGATTTACATTAATTTTTTTCTTACATATAAACCAAGTGAGGCTTTTGTTGATTTACAGCATTGCAGAGATGGGCTGCTGCTCAGTTCTCAGAACAGGTAACATAATTTCATTAAAAAACCCACAAACCCCCACCTATCGGAGACCCCTCCTAACTGCCAAAGTCCATCGGCCTTCCCTTGCTGCTGCATACTCTGCTTTGCCAATACAGAAGCGGGTTCCCAGCAGCTTCAGGCACAGCCTGCACTGGGCCAGGCTCCTGCCTGCACTCAGATCTGCACAGCTTTCCAACACTAAACAGGGTATGCTTACAGAAGTCATAGGATTTGGCCAAATTCCACCACTGCCATATAACCAGTTTCAAACCTTACCTTGGTTTGAAGTAGAGTTCTAACTAGTAGTAGTAGAATTATAATTACTGGAATTATTTTTATTAGCAAGGTCTAATTACACAGTCAATTTAATTACAAGGACCTAGAGTTCTATCATCTGCAACAAGTTCATGCTTGCCTATTTTAACAGCTTGATCATGTTAAGTATACTTTAAATCTGATTCCTGCATTAACATCTATGTTAATTTACAATCCATTTCAGCCACCTGCCATAAAATAATGGATTAGATGTTACTAACATAATTTTGTTGTAATCTTGGGACACAAAGGAAGTTTGCTCAAGCACCACTGTATGCTGGTACAATAGCTGGATACAGTCTTCTCTGAAGACATTTGTACACCCACTCCTTCCTTTTTGTGGCAGAGCATAGCCCTGGAAGTGCTGAAGCACCACCTCTCCAACAATGTAAAAGGAGTCAGCAAGTCTGAATAGCCCAAATCAAAAATGACACCAACACCTCTGTAAATTAAGAACTTGCTAGACAGGACTACTGAAATGCCAACCCTCTACTCTCAAGCTGCATTCTTTAATTTCTCTCATTCCCCTATAATATACCTCCAGGGACATTGCCTCAGATTTGGGGCAATTTACTATAGAAAATATTCTTCACAAGCTCAATTTGGAAGGCTATGCTACAGTTTGAATATGTCAGCTGTTTTAAAGTTCACTGTCTGTAAGAAATGTCAGTTTTCTTCCCTCCATTGCATGAACTTGAGAAAACCTCATTACCTGAAACGTGACAAAATATTCAAGACTGACTATGCAAATACTGTGTTGTGTTTTCAGTTCAGTAGTGCCTCAGACAAATTTCAGAGCAAAATCAGTCTTAACAATAAAGATTTTTTTAAAGTCCTTTATTAATCTGAATATAAAAAAGACAGAAGCTGCCTACAATATAGGACAAAGCTCTTGCTTCATGAGGAAACAAAATTTTCTTTACAAAGTGAAAAAATAAATACCCTCTTAGAGTAAGGTTTATATGCTAATGTGTCATAAAAAAGTAGAGTTTTAATATTTTGACAAAATGTCTGTGCAAAGAAACAGATGCATAAACACACATTACTGCTACATTAAGGCAATATGAAAAGTATAGTCAGAGAATTTCTGTAAAGTGACAGTGTACTTTTCTAGCTTTGATTAAGCCAGTATTGCACCCAAATATGGTCTCCAGTTCTCTCTGTACCCTGGAGAAGACACTAGGAAACCAGAGGCCAAAATGCCCAAGTAAGGGGTTGGAAATCAAAAACACTTTATTGGGTAGGTAATTTCCTGCTAAAGATGCTAACTGAAGAAAGCATTCAAAATTAGACAAAACCCTTAAAGATTAATGGTGCATGTTTCATAGTTTAAAATCAGTCTCCAAAAATAAAGCCAACTTGAAGGGCAGTTCCCTGCCGCTTCCAAGACCACCAGCCAGAAGTGGACTGTGGGAAACTCGGGAGTACCCTGCCCACTGAGAGCTGTGAATGAACTGCCATAGCAGTGCTTCCACAGGACACTGGCAACCACAAGACTTTCCTGACTCACCCTCAACACTTGAAGATTAATAATCTTGTCCTCCCTTTCCAAAGCTATTCTCTCAGAATTGTTTTCTATTTAACAGAATTCTGAATTGAAGCCTTATAACTTCAGCTTAAGAACTAATTTTTTAAAAAGAGATCTCTTTAAAGCAATTTACTAAAAGCAGAAGCTATGAGCCTTACTAAACTGGTATGTGTAAAAGCAAGTCTTACTATTAAAATAAACAGTACAACTGAGCTAAAAAGGATTTAGAGCATGTAAAAGAAAAGGCTGCATTGCTTTCACCAGGTACATTTGCATGTCTACACCACATTTCTCCAGGGTTACCAAGCTTTGTGGCAACACTGCCGTGCTACAAACTTATGGATCATTCCTTAAAGAACATGAATCAATTACACTTCTACTCTTAGAAGACGTCCCAAACCATTTTGGACATGCTGAACAAAGAATATTTATGTTAAAAAAATCCAGGTTTTTTTTTTTTTGCTTTTGATCATGGATAGGTGCCAGAGTGATTGCCTTCTTCACAATCAATGGTTGCATTTCTTATTAGTGCAGTTTGAAGAGTACACGATGCATTTGAAATGTGTACATAGATCATATCACAGTCAGATTGAGAAGACTGGTGTGGGTTGGCAAGTACACATGCTGGACATGCTCTACACGAGATCTGCAAACGGGACACGACTGGAAAGGAAAAACATCAGGAAATTAATTTACTTTGTATTTTGAAAGTCTCTGCACTTCCTGCAGATTTCACACACACAATAACAGCGCTTTTTCATCATTCCATATTTAAGACAGAGTATGGTGAGAAGCAAGAAGTGTGCAGCTCATTCTTAGCCTAACCACAAATTACATTTAGCACATCATTCAGATAGCATGCTCTCTGAAATTAATTTGCCACAAACAAAATCTTAGTAGTTTTACTAGAACATCAACACAAACATATTAATCCATCACCATCAAATATTAAAAAAAAAAAAAAATCAAACCTTCCACACAAATTGGTAACTCACAATTTAATGGCACTGCATTTACCTGTAACTGGGAAGCACAGGACTTGCAGCAAACTGTGTGGCCACAGGGACAAAAGGTTGAATTTATCTCTTCTTCACAACACACCATACAAAGCATGGACTCCTTCAGCTTCCGCAGCTTCTCTTGCAGGGCTTTTGTTTGTTGGCAGCTGAGACCCTCACAGTTGTCACAGTTCATGCTGCTTTCTGAAGACTTAAGAGGGGAACTTGGTGGGGTTTGATCACTTCTTGAAACAAGATCCACAATGCCAGCATTATAAAGAGCTCGCCTTGCATGATCATAAACTTCTTTTGATGTTCTTTTAATATCAAAGACATATTTTTTACCAAGATTAATGTTTTCATTCAGAAATAGAGATGCTAGGTGACCCTTTAAGTCTCGACTATACTGCATCATGACAGCACTGGTGACAGTGTCACACCTATAAAGCAATAGGACAAATACAAACTTGGTTAGTTAATACCAGTAGAATGATCCTAGTCATTTGTTCCCAAAGTTGAAGAAACCGCATTGAAATTAAACAGTCTGAGGTAATATTTAAGCTTTTGAATGATCTTTGCATGAAAATTCTCCTTTGAAAAGTGTAAAATGGAAAGTGACAATTACTTTATATCTTCAAAATGTGAAGTGTCTGGTAAAATGGAGTCAGCCTATGGAAGGGACTTAAAAAAATTACACTAACAAACAGCAAACAGTTGCTTAATCCACAGTTCGGCCTGGCAACACCTTTTTGCATGGCATTTCCAAATGCTGCCCTAAAGAATTCCAGTTAAGAGTCCTTGGCTCTCAATTTTATCACAGAGTCAAGTAATGTTTTTAACCCAATTTCCACCAAGTACTTTATATACTAGTATTATGTCATTCTGAAGGGAACCAGTGTGAATGGAGTGTAGAAAATTAAGGCATTTGTATTTGCCACTGTGCATTTCAGCTACCCTAACCATGCTTGTCACATATTTCAGTGATCCAGTTGAATCTTCTGAAGCCTATTAGGGCATATCGCTTCTCTAGGCAACACAGGAAGGAAAACACAAACAAAACAGAAAGACTACAGCCTCCCAGGGCCTAAGGTTCAAGATCTAAGCTTATGGCCAAATGCTGTTGCCAAACTAAAATTCTGCTTAAATTAAAATCAAACTGTGAAGGAGAAAATTATAAGCATATTCAAAGGTCAAGAAGTAATTGAAACTCGTATGTGGTAGTTAATATTAAGAAAACACTGCTAAGTGTGTTTGACAGCTAGTCTTACTGATCAGTGTTGGACACCCCAGTAGGAATGAAAGGGGGTTGAGAAGTTGCCCACCAACAAAAGAATGTAACACCCCACCCTCAAAAACAACAGGACAGAGACAGTGGATAGCTGCTGGCATGAAGCAAAATCCTGAGCATGTGAGCAAGGACAGAGGAACTGTAAGAAGGTTTAAATATATGGGATGGGAAGGTACCATGCAGATAACAACTGAAGGAGCCAAATAAAAGATTATGCATTCTGAATGACAGGATCTTCCCCACTGCTCTCATTCTCTCTTACACAGGAACAAAAAACGTATGTATTGCTTATAAAGTATCAAGGAACATAAAAAGTTGATAATTTGAAATGCTGTTATTCATAGTGGGAAAATTTTGCTTATTTTTATTGTTACTCCCACCACACAAAATGGAAAGTAGCAAAAAGCTTTTCAGCTTCTGGACTTAAGATGAAAAGAGGCTGAAAATACAATAGAATTTTGCAGAGTATTTCCACAGTGCAGTCAGACTGCTGGCTGCTTAAGTACTTATATCAAACACTGGAGAAGAGCAGCAGCACATGACTCTAGGGGCAATACTGACCTGTAAAATGCATGTGTCTCTGTAATTGCTCTGTAGAGTCCGCTTGCTGCCCTTGTACTGATCATTTTAAACAAGAGAACCACGCTATTACCAGACTCCTTGGTAACAGTCAGATATACATTCTTTCCAGACTGAGTTGCCATTTGAACAACAGGATAAGCAATCCTAGAAATTAATGTTAAAATATAAAGGTTTCTTAGTTGTTAAGGATTAGGGAATTTTCCACAAACTATTATAATGCATTTTTATCAGAAGTTACAATGATTTCTGATGGTAGTCAGCAATGCTGATTGAAGATGCTGCCTCAAATATATATATATAAAAATCAAAATCATTAAGGTCACTTATTTATTTGGATTACAAGCAGGTACTTGTATCCAAATAGTCACTTTTAGTAATTCTCAGAGCAGTTTTATGTATTTATGTAAAAACTAGAGGCACGTTCCATAATTTTGAAAAATTGATCATGCAAAATGGTTCCAGGAAACACATACCTGTTGATTGGACTGAAGTCATCTTTGCAGATGGATATGCCTTCAGGTCCAACACCAATAAGGAGTTTTTGCCCTTCACTATCTCTTACTGAGTGCCACTCTACCCCATAGTTCTCCAGTGTTGTAACAATCTGTAGAATCTGGTATTCAGCAGATGCTTGACTTAGACCTTCTAGCTCCTTGTGCTTTGTAATAATGCTGTTGATAAAAAGATTAAGGATAGGTGAAATAATTCAAGTATCTGCTGTTGCTGTCAGCAGCTTGTTTTAACATGGGTTTTTAGATGACCTAGTTAAACAGATTAGTAAATGCTCCTGACCTGTTTTATCTGTCTACAGATTTCCAGCAATTGTGAACTGGAAATAGTTGAGAATTACCAAAAGAGAATGTCAAGGAGAAAATACTGTGCATTTGCTTAGAAATGAAAAAGCTACATGTAATCAAAGCTTTCCAAATAACACCACCAACCCAAACATTCCCTGAGCTACCACTAAGTTCATAATTAAAGAAAGCACTACAGAAAAGTATGACACACTGAATGCTTCCTGATATTCAGGAACTGAGCTATGAAGATGTTTCAGAATTCTGTTTACTTTTCAGAGTAAGGGTACTAAGCCAGATAAATTCCTTCATTCACAAGTACAGGTCTAAGACATATTTACATTTTAAATACCATACTCCAGGTACTTAAATATATCTGTATTTCCCCACCTACCAGAGTTTTCATAAGAAAAAAAACCAAAAAAAGACACCTCATAACTGAGCTTAAAAATTTAACTGAAATCAGAACATCAAACATTCAGGTTGGAGATTTTGCTCTCCAAATCTATTACTGTTAAATTACTCATTTACACTGTATCACCAGCAATTAAATGCATAACAAAAGCTTCTGCTGTTGGTCTCCAAAAAGGAAACTAGATCCTTGTGCTTTTTACCTCTCCAAAATGGTAGTGGTGAGCTCTTTTGCACACAACTCTTCATAATTGTACTTGGCAGTGTTCTGGTTATAATCTCCAAACTTCATCTGTGCCAACAATGCACTAAGTTCAATTGCATGCTCTGAAGAACACTGGAGATTACCAGCAAGAAGATCTTCTTTTATATGCAAGAAAAACATATGCCTGCAACACAATCAAACATTTGCTTACACAAATTGTTACATGATATCTGTAATCAAGACATGTAACAAGTAACATCTCAACTATGTTTGATAATCAAGAATTTGCAATGAATGTACCAAGTAGATGAAGTCAGGCACAGGGAAAAAAAGGGCCTCCATCTTAGTCTTTACTCTTAAACATGAAGCTACAACTGAAGGTGGTATCTAAAATCACTACTAAAAAAAAAAGAAAAGAGCGCTTCACCATCATCCTGAGTATCTCAAGAATAAGAACTGCTTTAACTCCTAAGGCCACTTAGTAATTTCAATTTAGTGAGTAAAATATCAATGAAAGATTTCAATTAGTTTCCCATGTTTACATTTTTGTTGCAATTTACAAGTTATTCTTCATTTCACAAGAGCAAATTTGGGAAGAGCCTCTCAAAACATACACTCTCCTGTTTTGCAAGAGGAGAAGCCATACTCTCTCTACACAGTGGAGATGCCCCTGCCACTACAGCCATGGTGTTTTTGCCAGCAACACGATTAAGAGAATAACCTGAAATACTTGGAAAGGCATTGGGGAATGAAATAGAAAAACAGCTACAATGTAAGCATTCATCAGACCAACCTTTGCACTTGAGACCAAGACAGGTTTGACAGCTTGCTGAAATTCAAAAAGCAGCCCTTAATTATCTAATAGGTTACTTGACAGACAAAACATTTTCGCCAACATTAACAGCAGCATGTCATTATCCCCTATGGGTTGGCCTAACTTCTGTAGATCATCCTTGTTTTCCTTCAGGGGACACAATACAAATTTCTTACCATTTAGGGCTCAACATATTTATGGAAGCCAGATGGAGTGTATCACAGAGTTATGTATCACTGAAAAAAAAATCTTTCAGTAAATGAAGCCTAGCACCCACAGGGATGCCTCTTGGCTTCCACAGGAACAGGACATTTACTCTTCTAAAATGAAGTCTAATCTACTTTTAAGAAAAGCTTTACTGAAGCTCTGTATCTAATCTCTGATAACTGAAGCTGAAGATGCTAATAAGTGATTCACTTTCCTTCCAATTGGAATTTTGAATATCTTACATATATTCTGTTTTAGCATTCTAGAACTCCTCTGTACAACAAGGCAAATAGGATTTTTTCAGTATTATGAGCAATTACAGAACTTACAAAAGTTGTGCTCTTTCTTAGCTCTATTGGTAAATGTTGCAACTAAGAAGATACCAGCCAAAAGATGCATCATATCCACAACCTTTTGAATCAGGACAGAACAGAAATGGTATTAAATTATCCTCAAAGCTTTCCTACAGTCCACTTCCTGGAAGAATTCACAGCTCTAACACTTCCCTTTGCAAACCATTTGTTATGCTAGAGCATCATACTAGTTGTGATGCAAGTGCTTAATCACAACACTCTCAAGTATAAACATCAACCTACACTCTTTAGCACTTCTAGAGGGGAGTCTGGTGGAAGCCAATGTCCTCACACTGTGCAGGACACAACCTGAGGTGGCAGGAGGACCAGAACTTCAGACAGAGCTGTCTCCACTGTCAGCAGGTCACTCCTTCTTTAGGCTCTTTTTCTTTGAGACAAAGTCAAACCCCTGCTCCCATGCGTTTCTCCTACCTTGCAGAGTCACAGCTCTTTGGGCTTGGGCCCCAGAAAGGTATATCTGTGGCCTTTTAAAATTATTTTGTTGTACAGACTCTGATTTGTGCTCAGCACAAATCTAAGTAATACAGTATAAATTACAGAAACACTACAGCCAAAATAAATTCCAATAGTAGGCCTTTCCTTAACTCCAATCAACATTTCATAAAATAAAGATTTTCTCATGCACTCTTTATCCTCTGACAATACCAGAACAGGATTTCCAGTAATTTTAAGTACTAATTACAGCATTTCAAAGAAAGATTAGACTTTTTTTTCTCATTAGCTAAAACACATTTATAACTACCACACCTAAATTATTTTACCTTCAGGGTTTTTTTCATGACAGCACTGACTACACCAGGTAAAGTCAAGAGTTTTTCTTTTGCTGGAAAGACCTTATTGACACCTCAAGGGGAGCTGAAAACCAAAATATTGCTCCTGCAAATGCAGATGAATTATAGAACAGATACAGCAGATGCATGGATTGTCACATTCTATTACTACAAGTAGCATCACATCAGCTAATGTGAAGTAACTTCCCATAACTGGCTCACATCACATAAGGGAAAACATCTCAAATACTCAGCTATTTTGCATTTTTTTGATAAATAGAACAAACAGCACATATAAAGGACAGTATTGCAAAGTAACTATTTATGCAAATTCAGTCCATCTGCACCTAAATAACCTAAATTGCACCCATAACAGGACAGTGAATGACTTCCCACTGACCTGTTAGAGGAACTACCCTGAACCAAAGTTCAGGTAGCAAATTCTCTACTTCCTTTTTTTTTTTATGTGTGTGTGTTAGTGGGTTTTTGTTTGTTTGGACTCTTTGTGTTTGATGAGAAAAAGGCACCTAGAATTTTAAAGACAGTGAGGGTTATGAACACATCAGAAAAAGTGGTTTTGATTAGCCCATCCAGCTGCAGAGTGCACTCCTTCAAAGTTATATTAATATACATTGTAAAATCATTCCTCTTCAAAGGTCCAAAACATAACACCAGCCAATCTGATAACAAATGCAGACTTATTTTTTTTTACACTAACCAAAGTCTTTTGGTCCTTAAAGAAAAGGCCCTAAGATTTTATTGCTGAATACAGTCAAGCAAAACTAAAGCATTAGGATCTTTGATACAGTTCCTTATCTAATTCTGCAAATTCTAAAGGACTTGATAGACTGCCTTGCAGAAAACCTGCTCATATAACATATACTATTAGTTACAATAAAGGATTTATGTAACTTTTTGTAAATTAGACTGTGACCTAATCACTTCATACACAATCCTCCACCCTTAATCTCTCTTGGAACCTTTAGATATGATAAAAAAAGTTTTTAAGTCTTCTCACTATAAAGATAGTCAGGTTGTACAGTAAGAGAATACATTTTTTTCAATGAATTATTTCAGTACTAGTATTTTAGACTTAACGGAATTTTTACCTAGCAAGTTTTAGAACAATGAACTGTTAAAACTAAAACTGGACTGTTTTTATGGTCCCTAAAGGTTGCATTTCCAACATTGCTGGTAAAAAACCTAACACTTGTCCACCATGTAAGAAACTATATGATTTTGTTTCTGCATCATTCACACTTCAGTTGCACTTGATACATTATTATTAAATGCTACAAATTTGAGAAGTGAGTGAAGTCAGACAAAAGGTATGTCTGACTGTTCCTGTCCCAGCCCCAACATTCCCTTCGCACATTCTCCAACTTTTTACTACCCTTGCCAAGGCTTCATTTAGTCTTTAAATCTTCACAACTCTGAAATTTGCCCATTAATTGTTGTGACTCCTAGTCATCTTAACACCTGCCAGACATTTTGAGACATTGATCAACTAGTGGCAAGGACACTTTGAGGACAAACAACTTCCCACTGCACTTGGAGCCCAAGTTCTCTACATGTGATAGTATCAGTATGAAAGACAGTCTCTGTAACCAAAAACAGCCTTTTCTTCTGCTCTGAACCCCACGCTACCTAGATATACCTATGTATTCAATTGTGGAACATTTTCTCTGAGTTTGCTAGCTCAAAACACTCTATAATAATACTGACTAGAGGACAACACATTGCTTGCCAAAGGTACACTCCATCAGTCACTGCCCAGACAGATTTCTTCCTTTCCAAAAGAACAAAGGGCAGTTTTACAATTAGAACAGGATCACAGATTTTCTTCAAGCATTAGCTACACTGGTGATTTTATATTCATTTTGCATCCTTAGTTTTGGATCCATATTCTGCATATAATTTAAGATTTATGTACATACAAAACACTCAGTAAAATCAAATGTGGTATGATTAATATATTGCAGTTGGATGCAAACAATTTGATATAAAAACTGTAAAAAGGGGAGATTGCAAGGAGATTTCAGCAGATGGTCCATTTCACAAAAAAGTATAGCTATCTAATCAAAGCCACAGACCCAGATATCAATCACATTAATTGCTTTTTGCCTCCCTCTGAAGCAATTCACACAAGCTGGCAATACTGAACACAACTACCAGAAACAAACATCAAAACTTCACTACAATGGAATTCTAAGAGGGGGTAAATCACCTAGTTAGTGTTGATCCAAATGAACTGGCAGTAACAACTCCACAAGAAAATACTACAAGAAGTAGCACAAGATCAATTTTCTTTTGTCACTCATTGAAAATAATTATGTGCATTAGGAATTAAGGCTCTGCACTACCACCAGTAGTTTCTACTAATTTTTTTAATCAAGGCAAGAGAAACAGAGCAAATAGGTAGGTAAAAATTTTAAGCTCTAAACTTAGTTGTCAGTGGAAGAAGTGACAAACCCCACCCAATCCTTTACCAAAGAGTTGTCTGCATATGACTAATGACCCCTATAAGCACAGCCAAAAGACCTCATTCTCTTGCCAGACTACAGGCAAGAATCTTGGCATACCTCCCAAGGAACTACCTGTTTTCTTTGGGGTATGATTCCTTACCACAGGTTAAGGCTCTTTCCTACTGTAAATTTACTGCCCTGTAGTCTAAAATCAAAATTAAGAGGCATGATTGTTCTCCCTAAAAATATATTGATAAAGACTTCTAAATCTATAGAATATAATTCTGTTTTTAAAAGCAGACAAGGCCTCCCTACATTTAAAAAAAACCAATTTTTTTTGCTTTTTTTATCCTCCTCAGTATCTTTGTTCTTCATTGCTCATAGCAGAGTGGATAAAAGGCTACCAACTGCAATTTAACTCTGACTTAGACAAACAGATCCATTAAACTCACCCCAGTGTCAATCATACAGACTTTCATTGCCTTGTAACAAAGGTCACTGCTGCGCTGGCTACCCAATGTTACAGGATGAAAAAGCAAGAAAACCATCATGTTATCTACTACATGTATCCGACTCCTCAACAGATTTAAGGCCATTGTTAATTTCAACTAGTTTATCAATATAACTGGACAACACAGCAAAAAAGTGTACTTTGTAAATATAATTCAAATACTGGCAAACATCATACAACTTTTTAATAATCTCAAACAGTAATTGCCACTTTCAAGGTTGGCAAAATGCAGCTTTTTTGAATGATTCACAATATTGTGTGGCTCACTAGAATTCGACATATTTTGTGGTATACATGTGAATATTTGATTTTCAGTCTTGCTACACAGGACAAATAATGCTGAATTTAAAACCTAAACCCATCATTCTCCTAGACTGCTACCAGGGACCTTTGGCCTCTTGGGCAGCTTGGCAAACACTCTTCCCAGTAAAAGGTGGGTGAAGTTTCAAGACTCCTCTGCTCGACGTTCCACACCAGCCTGTGGCTGGTGCCCGGAGCTCTCTGCCATGGGCAGAGGGTGTGATATTCCAAAGCGGAGCTGGCTCCCCGGGCCGAGCCCCAGCCACTCCCGGGCACTGCCCTTTAACCCCCGCACCCGGCACGGCGGGACCGCCCAGCCCGCACCACTCCCGGGCACCTCCTCCCGGCCCCACACCCGGCAAATGTCTCCTGAAAATTCCAATTTTCCAGGTGTAATCCTTTCTCTAAGCCCTAGCTCCTTACTGCAATTCAACACTTCACATTTGATATGTGAACCACCCACAACTCATTCAGTAAAGAAGTGAAAAGCAGGCTTGCTTTCCCCCCACCCCCAACTGTTGCACGGCCTATCAAAGAAATACAGAAAACAGTGAAAATGAACAAGACACAAGCCAGAGTTATGATCTCAATCTTGGACCATCACATGTGTCTTTAAGCAAAGAGATAATCCTTTTCAAGCCAGTATGATTTTCCATGCTAAAGAAAACTTACAGCTAGCTCTTCAAAGTCCTCTAAAGCAGCACACTGCTCACATCTCAGACTTGTCTGTACATTTCTGACAGCAGCAGATTAAATTAGAATTACATTATTGCACTGAAGCACTTTTATTCCATTGAAAACAATTCTAGACTATGAAATCATGTGGCGCAATTCAGGTATTCAAATAAAAAAAACCTAAAAGCTGAGATCCAAACAAGAATAGAAATTAACTGCTTTTAACCCTGTAAAAAAAGTGCAGTAGAAAGGGTTTCTCCACACAATTCTCAGATTCCCAAAGCACTTAGTGAACATGGTTTGTTGCCATAGTGGTCAGAGGTGCAATTATAACCTGTTCTGTCTTTGTGCTCTGTGCAAAAAGGCTGCCTTGTATAAGAATATTAAAATTGGCTGTAATCTTCCTCTGGACTGATAAAAGGCAACAGAAGCCAAGGTCAACATTCTGTTGCCAGATTGACTTTCACAGCTTGTAGAAACCTGAACATCAAATTGCTACAAACATACAACCTGAGTTTTAAACTCAAGTGCAAAGCAAGGTCTCTAATGAAGCACTGCAACTGGGGCTGGCAAATCTGCCCAAGTATACAGAAAAAAACTGGTAACCCAGCACAACACCTGCTTTTATAATCGTGATGAAACGCATTAAGAACATTTAGAATTACTTATAGCTTCTCAGATTTCAAGAGCAGTTTCAACATGCATCAAATTTATCTGTAAAAACAGGATCAGAAGCTGCAAGCAAAAGACTGGAAGACCTCCCCAGTGTTCTTCACACACTGGACCACAAGGTGTGCCAGAAACACCCCGTACATCAAATATAGACACAACAACTAAATGAAACTAAGGATACCCATTACTTTCTTCATCAAGACCTTGCAGATAAAGATGAAACAATGTGTCAGCTTTAACTGTACAGCTAATACTTGCCATTTTATGATATATCTACTGATTTTTAAGTTTGGTAACAGGTTTACAAGTTTTTAATCTTTTTCTTCATGTTTACACACAAACATGAATTCACAGTTACATGCATACGTAAATCCTCAGGCAGACTTGAGTAGGAAAAAAAGCCACTCTACTAAAACTCAGAGTCAACAATCCAGGAGAACAGACATTAACCACAGGCTCTGGAATTCTAGGCCTGCTACATGTGGACTACTGGGCTTACACAACTAAAAGGCAGTTATAACTTGACATACAACTTGTATTTGGTCTTAATATATCTCTTCTGATGCCTAAGCTTGGGTTAATTTTTAAATTGTTTGTTAAAAATGCTAGTTTCAGAAGTGTCTTAATACATAAAAGGAAGCTTGCCCCACCTACATCCTTTTAAATCATCTTTACAGTGGAGAAATACTTGCTGCTTTGATGTAGGTATATAAACTCTTACATTTTAGCTACACAAGCTAGTATTTGAGGCCCTTGGGGCATGTTTCACCAGTTCAACCTCTCTGTTAACTTCCACCTCCTGCCAGGTCTTGCACTGACAGTGTTGAAGGCAGGGACACAGACATCTGTAAAAGCCTTGTGAAGTTGAACAAGCATTCATCAGTGATAGCATAAAAATGCCACTTCGAGGTTTCCACAGATTTTCACCCTGATTTGCTTTGTGAACGGAGACACATGTGACATGCTCAGTGTAATCTCTTCTGCCTCATCAGCTATGAAATTGTCTGGCTCCTTTTGTTCGACATAAATCTCATTTGTTATTTGGTTTTATACTTACCAAGAATATTTAAATAAGAGTTTCTTTAAGGAAAAATACTCCACCATATGCCAAACATAGCAGAAAATATTTCCTAAATAAAAGTACATCAGAACTGGAATTCAGTTTAAATGCATTTGCCTAACTGAAACTATTTTGCAGGACAACCATGGTCTACCACCACAGCATTCTGAAAACTTCAACTATATTGATGAACTGGAACCCCTGCTCCCCAAAAGCCTGTTCCCTACACATTAGATCAAAAAATAAACTCAAAATATTTTTTTCCATGAAATAAACATCAAATCAGACTGTCAGCCTCTGACCAAGTTCTTTAGACATTCTGTGCAAAAGCACCATGTTGGTGCTTAATTTCAGAATTAAGACCACCATTAAGACTTGTGGTCTTAATTCTGAAAGTACTAAGTTAATGACTCTGAGAGTAACAAGTTCAGGTGAGTAGTGAAAATGGGCTTTGGCATTATCACACAGACACTAGATTTCAAGTGGTCCCATTCATATTAATTGTACTAGCCAAAACTAACAGGAAAAAGTAGTTGGAAGGTCAGCATTAAATACACATATGCACAGCATTCTTTAAAGATAATTCTGTTGCAACTCATGTGGTAATCAAACTTAAGGAGTAAAAGCAAGTGTTCCCTACTAATCTTAGAAAACTATTTCTTCTGCTTTAATAACAGTATGATGATTTAGTTAAGAGGACTTGCCATAGAAGCAGCCAGACAGCTGTTTCTTTTGTAGCCTCTAAGGGCCTGTAGCTATATGAAAGTTACTGTAACATAATACCAGCAAAAAGGAATTCAGCAAGTTTTTTTGCACTGTGGGAGGAATTGTTTCCTGCTTTTCTGTACTAGTGGTTCAGAATGACCTAGAGTAACACCACAGAAGAGAGGTTACTATCGGACACACAAATACTATATAAAAAGTTTGCTACTGGTAGCTTAGTTTCTTCCAGTTCCAGCACTAAGTGCTCCAAAGATTACTCACACTCATTACTTATCGGCAGCTACACGAAGTTTAATGTTGCAAATTTAATTACATTTTTTTCTTAAAAAAAGCAATAATAAACTTCAAAACCACTAGGATTTTAAAACAACATAAAAAAGTCAAGCAAAGTTACCATATGACAAAAGAAACAAAACCAGTGTGCAATCACTTTTGTAAATTACAGAAACTGAAAACAAAGTATTAAATTAAATGTGCTTACAACCATATTTACTTACCTTGTCTGTTCTTGTAAGATAAGATGTGGCTCAACAAAAAACTTGACTCTCAATTTCAATCGGTAAGGGGCTAAACCATCCATCTGCTGGGAGATCCTGTTCCTCAAATTCAGCCATAGATTCTCCCCTTTGCTGCCAGTGAACTGCAGTCCAAAATAATCAACTTCTATAATCCCCAACCTTCTGCAAACCTGAAAGAATAAGATTCTTTACAATCCAGCTACAACATGACAATTACAAGTGACATCTGAAGTGGCCTTTCAGACTGCTGACTTAAAACCACACATAAAATCCTGTTGTTAGCACCTTCATAAAAAGACTTAACCACTTAGATTTTAGTTTGCATACAAAACAGCCCAGAAAAAAGCACTAGGCATGAACTAGGAATTTCTCTACTAGCCAAAATACACATGGGCTTCCACGGTCAAATTTCACCCGCAGGACAGGCACTTCAGAGGGTCAGCGGATTTCCACAAGAGGAGAATATCTGCTACTCAGTATCACAGCCATTAGCACTTGCTGGGCAAGGAGGAGTAAACCCACAAGTTTTATTTAGGTGTCACCAGCAGTTTGGACTGTTTCTCTGTCTCCCCCCAGCATCCCTACAGCAGCCACCGCAGACACAGCGAGGCGGTGGTGACGGAAAGGCGAGAACACACCTGGAGGGCAGCTCCAGCCCGGATGCAGAGGTTTGAGTGCAGTGGGTGCTACATCCCCCGCCTCTGGCCCCGCTCCTGCCCCCTCCCCGGGGACACTTCCAGCGGGATTCCGTGGCGAGGCCCACGGGAGCGGGGCCGGAGAGCCCCGTGGCGTGGGATGCAGCACCTTCTGCATTCAACATGGAGAAAGGGTTGGGGGAAAAAAAGAAGAAGACGGAAAATAAAAATAAGAAACGAAAAGCACAAGGGAAGCGGGGACGCTGCGGCGCTCCCCGCCCCCACCGCCGCGGCCGCCCCCGCTCGGCCCAGCCCCGCGCCACCGCCGCCCCTCGCCAGGCGCCCGGGCCCCGCCGCGGGCAGGCAGGGCAGCGGCCACGGGCACCAGCGCTCCGTGCCGCCCGCGGTCACCGCCGCGCTCGCCGCAGCCCCCGCCCCGAGCGCCGGCGCGAAGAACCCCTCACCTGATTGAGGCAGTCCTCGCCGTTGGCTTTCGCCTCTACTTCCACCTCCATCACCACCGCGTCCGGCCTGGTCACATAGCACAGCATGGTTGGGGACAGCCGCTTCTGCTGCTGCTGCCGCCGCGGACACCCGGAGCGGCCGCCGCCGCTGTCGCCACGGGCTGAGCCCCGCACGCGTCGCTCGCCGCCCACGCCCGGACCCCAACAGAGCCTGTCCCGCGCCCCTACCCGCCTGCGCGCCGCCAGTGCCGCTCCCTCCTTATGTACCCTCCGCCGCCCCGCCCCGCCCGGGTCCGCACCTGCGGACCAATCAGAAGCCGCCTCTCATGGCTGCGGGCCGCCGCCGCCGCCAATCAGCGCCGCCATGGCCGCGCGGGCGTGTGTGGTGCTGGCTCTGTGGCGCCCCCCGCCGTGCCCGCGGGCGGGGCTCGCTCAGCCTGCCTCAGCCTCCCTCAGCCTCGCTCAGCCTCCCTTAGCCTCCCCCAGCCTGCCTCAGCCGCCCTCAGCCTGCCTCAGTCTGCTTCAGCCTGCCTCAGCCGCCCTCAGCCTGCCTCAGTCTGCCTCAGTCTGCTTCAGCCTCCCTCAGCCACCCTCAGCCACCCCCAGCCTGCCTCAGCCTCCCTCAGCCTGCCTCAGTCTGCTTCAGCCTCCCTCAGCCTCCCTCAGCCTCCCTCAGCCTGCCTCAGTCTGCTTCAGCCTCCCTCAGCCTCCCTCAGCCTCCCTCAGCCTGCCTCAGCCTCCCTCAGCCTGCCTCAACCACACTCAACCACCCTCAGCCTCCCTCAAGCTCCCCCAGCCTCCCTCAGGCTCCCTCAGCCGCCGCTGCCCGGAGCTGGCCACCCTGGCGCTGTGTCCGCTTAAATCGAAGCAAGGTGTGCTCTTCCACATGTAGGTGGAGGGCAAGCCTGCTGGGGAGGGACAATCTGTGATACATGTGAGAGAGGGCAGCCATGGGCTGTGTGACATCCAAATGTTGCCTTCACAGAATCACGGATTTAGGTTGGAAAAGACCTTTGAGATTGTCAAGTCCAATCTATGATGCATCACCACCATGTCAACCAGACCATGGCACTGAGTGCCATGTCGAGTCTTTCCTTAAACACCTGTGGGGACGGTGTCTCCACCACCTCTCTGGGCAACCCATTCCAATATCTAATCACCTTTTCTGTGAAGAAATTATTTCTAATTTCCAAACTAAACTTCCCCTGGTGCAGCTTGAGACTGTCCTCTTGTCCTGTTGCAGGTTGCCAGCAGAAGAGGCTGCTCTCCACCTAGCTGTGCCCTCCTTTCAGGACACTGTAGAAAGTTATAAGGTCCTCTGAGCCCTGGCTCATATCTCAGCTTTCAAACACTCATTTTTGTTAAATGGAAGATAAAATCCAAATTGATGTTCTCATCCCCATACTCTCTTTGGCCTCCTCAACTCTGTATTATGCAGAAAGCAAAACCCTGGAAAACATGGAAATTTGAAGAACGATGGGTCAAGCCCTGTCACAACCTCCATGCATCACCATGCCAAGGGATGGTGGAGATTTTACACTCACTGAGCTCTGTAGATATGAATCTCGTAGGAGATTCCTAAGCAGGGGAAGAACACTAGCACCAGGCGAGCCCTTGGAAGTATGTGTTTGTCAAGCATACCCAAGGTGCATACAGTAGTTTATGGCTGCTTTAACAATGTAAATTGAAACAACAGGGAGGACTAAGTACAAAATGCACGCTGTGTGTGTTGCCCAAGAGAAGTGTAGATCAAAGACGTACTGAGCAGTGCAGTGGTGAGGAACAAGTAGGCTGTCACCAGGCAGAAGATTGTAAGATATTTCATCTTTTTCTCTCAGACAGTGCCTAAAGGGTTGCAGCGGGCACTTGTCACACGAGCTGTCTCCTATGTGCAAACACAGTAGCTGAACAAGTAGCTATGAGAGGAAATGGGAATCTAAAAACAGAGTGAAGAATAATAGGAAGAAGAACAAACCACAGCACTAATGCAAGGTCACCACAAGGCTGAATATTAGCTTGTTCACATGTGTATGGGTCACTTGCTTCTGTTCCACAATTTCTGCTATGCTTGTCAGGGTTGTTAGTATTTTCAGTTTTTAATAAAAAAGCGCTCAGAGCAGATGCTTATTCTGCTGGGAACTCTTGCACACACGGTATATGGAGCTTGATCCATTTTGTTCATGTGAACTCTAGAAGACCTCTCAGTTGTGAACAAGGCAGAACAGTAGGAGACAAATAAGAGTCAGGACATGAGATGTCAAACCTGAGTGGTGCTACATTTCACCTGCACACTTCCTAGCTCAGATTTTCATGCTCAGATCTAGAGTGTTTAAAGGACCAGACTCATAAAGTGGAGGGCTTAAAAAGGGAAGTAATAGGAAAGAAAGATGAACAAAATTGCAAAACTAATTGCATCTCAACTCTGTGGTTTTCTGGTTGAAAAAACCCAAACTCTTTGGGAGAAGATTAATTATAAGGGGTTTAGCTACTAACAAAAAATTACAAAATATTTTAGTATGGACAAAAAGCTTGTAGTACCCACTTCTTGTTTAGTTTTTGTTGGAGTGGATGCAGAAAGTTAGATTTTAGTTCTATTTTAGTTTTACTTCTATATATTGTGGAGTTGTGGTATATTGTGTGATTTTGATATTTCTGTCATAATCAAAAAAAGTCCTAGATGTGTTATGAAGAAGAAACACCAACACTGCCACGATGACTCATGCCATTAATGTTCTGATATCCCCTCCCTGACAGTAGTTCATATCAGATGTTACAGAGGAAGGTGAAAGAAATGTTTATATAATTGTGAGATAATAATGGGCTTGTATATTTTCTCTAACACTAAGCAGTTAAAGCTGGCCTATACCTGATAGTTTAGCCTTTACTTTTTTATCAATTTTTCTTGTGTAGCAGAAATCAGTTCACTTTATGTTGGACATTGCCCAGACAAAGAGAAACTTACAGTTTCTCTATGTATTAATATCCATCCTGTGTTTTCTTTTTATCTGACTTAATGTAAATGCAGGTGTTCTTATTATGTCAGTAAAAGTGTTATCCTGCTTTGAAATCTGCTAAACTGTAAACCACAAAAATAGCTTGTGGCACTAAATTGCGTAGATTGGTTAAGCCCTGTGTAAAACAAGCATTTTTTTTTTGAGGGTGTGATCTGGACACCGCTGTCACAGAAATACATTTCATTTTGCAGACTCTGTGTGATATTTTATTCATGCTGTACAGGAGAGAGTAAAGGACCGAGCCCTTTTGCACACAGGAGACGGCTCGTGTGACAAGTGCCTGCTGCAACCCTTTGGGCACTGTCTGAGAGAAAAAGCCGAAATATCTTACAGTCTTCTGCCTGGTGTCTTTGATGGATTATCAACACTCAGTGAGCTACACTGTCAAACTGCTCATAGCATGGATGTTCACCTTCTGTGTATCATAAAAGAGCAATGTTTATCAACATGTCAACTCAGTGCTGTATTTCACAAAATGATGTTTGCTGTATGACATAAATCTCTATAGTGGGTCAGCTATGGTGTCAGTTTGAGCATAAGTTCATACATTTATATACGTTTATATATTTACATTTCCTTGCCTAACACTGATTGATCATTTTCCCCAAATGTAATCTATCTATAAGGTTAATTGTCACATCCTGCTTCAAATAATTATAATATCTCCTTGTCTTTGACACTTGAATGGAAGGAAATTCTGTGAAAAATCTAATTGCTAGAAGAAGGGAAATAATTTCTAGACTTTTGAATTTAGTTCCCATCATGTCAACCATGAAACCATAGTTTACAAAGAACACGCATGCCTCTTGTACAGATTTTTATTCTCAAGGCTTCCCAGGTGGTTTCCTCCAACCTATTGTCATGATACTCCATCTTGTGAGGAATTCAGTAATTTAGCTGTGGTCTCTTTGCCCAGATGTTTTTGCAAGATCTTAGAAAAGATCCTCAGTTGTTGCTTGTTGTCCATGTTATTGACTCTGATCAAATTCAGGATTTTTTACTGCCACATAAAGCCAGGGTAAAAGGTTCAAAATGCCCAGTTGCTGCCAGTGCTCAGGATGAAGCTTCATCAAGTATTTAGAAGTTCCAATCATTTATCTTTGCTGTTCATTTCTGGCAGTCACATTAAAGGCATGAATTAAATGCTGCTTTACCTCAGCTCTTGGTGCCCAAGGTGTGTCTTTACATGATCTGTATGGCCAGCAGTGCATATATGTGTATTTTGTGCTGTATGCATGTGGTGTCTATGTATCAGCTGGGAATACTGAAGCTGAATAATGTTCAGCCTCATCACAGGTTGGAGCTGGAGATGTGGAGTGGCAGCAGTCTGAAATAGGTATTTTCCACTAACACAAATCCTTAGAGAAAAGAACTGGAAAGCACATCATGCCATTGCTATTTTAGTCCTGCTTTCCTCTTTTTCCTCTTTCTTTTTTTTTTTTTTTTTTTTTTTTTTTTTTTTTTTTTTTTTTTTTTTTTTTTTTTTTTTTTTTTTTTTTTTTTTTTTTTTTTCCCTGACCGTCTCTTTGTATTCTGTATCAAATTGAGTAACCACAGACCAGGTCAGCACAAATGCAGTTTAAGATGATTTGAAATGAAACTGAGCAGGATCATATGACTGTAGTCAGTCTTTTCTGCTGTCTCCTCCTGGGGTAAAATTGCTTTGTGCATGAACACAACAGTAGTGTCTGTCTTCCCTCTTGTCACTGTCAAGACTGTTGGTCATGTTGCAAATGTGCATCACTCACGTGGATGATGATCTCCTGACTGAAGCATGGATAGAAGCATAAAACTGAGAAGCTATTCTGACAGTGGTGGTTGCTTAGGGGAAACACCATAGTCCATCCACAAACCTTTTTTTTTTTTCCTACCTAAAATATTCTTTTAGTGTTCGCACATACATCATGCCTTTCCTGAAGTTTTTGAAAAATATTCCTCTGCTCCGCACTGTCCATGGTGTATAATTGGCTTCTATTGAAAAAAGAGTGTGTCAGTGACTGACATTCCCACAGCACTGGTTCTCCTTTGCCAAAATAATGAATAGTGAATAAAGTGTTGAGATTTTCTGCAGCTAACAGGCCATAAGCTGATTGTTTTATGAAACATTATCTGGTGGTCATCCCCAGGAGTTTTGATAAAACTGGTCTACGATGTTTTACAAACATAACCACTATCCTGCCAGATCAGATGAAGTATTCACATAGCCTTAAT